GTTTTTAAAAAGCCTTTTTCCAAAAGGTACATCTGGGAAAAGGGGGGTCGTCTTATAATCAGGGTCGTCTTATATTCGGGCCAGTACGGTACAAATCATTTATATAATTTCATATACATAATTTGATTTAATAATAACCCAATTTGAAGCAAAAACAGAATGTTCTGACTAGCTTTGTGAAATTATACTACATGCCTGAACGAAGCAAACAGCAGAAGCTCTGAATGAGACGCAGATCCACTCTCTGCCAGCAGGAGGCGCTCATGGAGCAGCAGATACAGCGTTTCCTTGGTTACCGCCGTAAACAAAGCAGAGCTGCGCTGAAACACTGCTTTAATGTGAATTATACGAGATGAAAAGAAAATACCATCTAAACGTTTCTGAAGACAGTCAGTTCCCCTCAGAAACACATTCATATAAACCCCCAAATCAATATTGAGGATTTTCTTCCAATAGTTCGTGCATCATGAACAGTGAGTGATCTGCCTGCTACAGTATTTTTCTCTGTTCGTCCGTCTTCAGCGTCTCGGGCCTGTGTTAACGGGTGTTTACAGACTTCATATTTTCACATAAACGACATTTGGAAAATGATATGCATTGCAACTAGGGTTGCCAACCGTTCTGTATAATACGGAATCGTCCCGTATTTAAGGCATCAAAGAAGCGTTCCGTATGAAAGCTATACAGAATGCAGTTTGTCCTGTATTTAAGGCATATGCCGTATGAACACCTCGACCATACGAATAACAAACTCTAAATTGAGAATTAATCCTTCTTTTTTGACAAGTGTTTGATTTGTGAACATAGCCGTTCCAGGGAGGCTTTAAGACCGAGCGGAATCCTCTGCCGCTTCGCAGCGAGCGGGACTCACGCCGGAGTTGGGTTTTTTAACGACTTCAGCAAATCAGTTTGAGCAAATGCAAACAAACAACGTGATTCCAACATCCAGCCACGCAAGAAAACGTGCATTTTACCTTAAGACGTGATCAATGAGGAAAGTCCTCTTTCTCTAATGTATACACCTAGATAAAACAATTTACATTTAAGTAACTTCCAGCGTATTCTTAACCTTGAATATCATTCCTAAAACACAAAATGACCAATGAAGTGTCATGCACCCAAAGAAGTCCATATTTATTCTATAAGTTCTCTTTAATTGAAAAATATGCATTTTCATATATACTGTAGTAGGCCTACTGTAGGCTATATTACACACACACATATCAGAAGACAGAAAGAGCTTTATTGCTAAGTATGTTTGCACATACAAGGAATTTGTTTTAGTGTCACAAGCTTCCAGTACACAGACTGGCAGTTAAATTTGTAGGGATGTACTATTTAAAGTGATAAATAATATAAGGTTATTGCACATATTTGTATTGCACAATGGGAGAACATTTAACTGTTCATGAGGTAGATTGCCTATAGCCTATGTGTGTGTGTGTATATATATATATATATATACTCGCATATAAATATATACACTGCCGTTCACAAGTTTGGGATCAGTAAGGTTTTTAATGTTTTTTAAAGAGGTTTCTTATGCTCATCAAGCCATTGCTGCAAAGCTGAATATGCAGCATCATTATTCCAGATTTTAGTGTCACATGATCTTCAGAAATCATTCTAATATATGCTGATTTAGAATCAATGCTGGAAACAGTTGTGCTGCTTAATATGTTTTGGGACCGGTGATATTTTTTCAGGATTCTTTGATAAATAAAAGGTTAAAAAGAACAGTATTTATTCAAAATAAATATTATGTGTTTCTTTTTTTTTTTAAAAGAAACTTTTATTCAGCAAGGATGTGTTAAATGGATAAAAAGTGATATTGTTAGAAAATATTTCTATTTTGAATAAATTCTGTTCTTTAACTTTTTATTTTATTTATGGAACACAGGTTCAAAAAAAATATTAAGAAGCACAACAGTTTCAACACTGATAATAAATCAGAATAAGAATGATTTATAAAAGGATCATGTGACACTGAGGACTGGAGTAATGATGCTGAAAATTCTGTGCTGCGTCACAGAAATAAATTATATTTTAAAGTAAAATAAGATAGGAAAGCAATATTAGAAATTGCAATAGAAATATTTTTGATCAAATAAATGCAACATTGATGAGCATAAGAGACATTTACAAACATCACAAATCTAAAAGATATACTTCTGTGTGTGTGTGTGTGTGTGTGTGTGTGTGTATGTATGTATGTATGTATGTATGTATGTATGTAT